GAGATCTAGCAAACTTTTTGATCGCGAAAACGTAAAATATGTTGTTTGTTTTTTTCAAATTTTCTGTTTAAAATTTTTTATATATTTTTTTTTTTTTTTTAATAAATGTCTCAAAATATATTTCTGTTGAATAAAATTGAATTGATTGTATTAAAGTCACAATTAAATAGAGAAAAAATATACGGAGGGCGAAGTTTTTACATAACAATAACATGTACTAAACTGAAGAGTCAGATTTTAATTTACGATTTGGCTCATTTAAGCTTTATTATATATGATAAATGAATGTAATTCCTTTTTTCCACTGATAAAGATTGATTCAATTAAACAATGCAAAAAGTACAAAATGTATGAAATATAAATGTACAGAAATAGCTCTGCATTAAAAACACTTTAAAAATACAAAAAAAGAACGGAACAACATATTTTATGGAGGAAATAGAATTTTATTTAGAATAAATTATATATAAAATGAAAATGCCTCATACACGTATTTCTAGGTACTGCACATTATATAACTATACGGCAAGTGTTTTGTATCTAACATTTCCTGAATAGTTTGTGAAATAAGAGAGTTTTGATACATTTTTATATTCAACATATTTAAAGTACAGATTTAGAAGCAAACACACTTGTAGTAATCTTCAAGAAGGAAAGGCTATCCGATGGAAATTTTATAGTCCGTATTTGAAGAAACGTAGGAAAAGGTAAAACAGTTTTATTTTGCGGGCCAATAACATTTTGAATTTATTTCAGTTTATACGCTTAAAAATGATATGTATACCTTAGTAAGTTTTTATTTTCATAAAATATGACTACATCGTATTTGCTTTACATTTTTAACTGTTTGAAAGGGAAAATAAAAATAGTCATAAAAGATTTACTTTTAAAATTGTAACTTGGTAAATAAGGGTTAAAATGCTTTATAATAATTATTTTCCTGTTCATTATAAAAGTATTTTAACTAAAGACGCAATTTTTAAATTCCATGAACTACATGAGAACAAATGATTTTAAAGTATTGCATAGTAATTAACGCTGATAGACATTATGGTTTTAATTATTGCACCATGATTAAATATATTAAAAATGAAATAAAATTACCGTAAAATCCGGCGTGTAATGCGCACTTTTAGCTTAAAAAATAAGTTCGAAATTTAAGGGTGGGCCTTATACGCCGGGTATAAAAACGATAGCTTTAAAAATACCAAAGACGAACATAAAAAAATAAATTACTTCTACACATATCGAAACACTGTTTAATTAAAAGAAATGACATGCATTTCGAAATAAAAGAGTTGTGGTTTTAGAAGTATGCTGCTATTTTCAAAAGTCTTTGATAATACCTCGAATAAATGACTTAGAAACATAAGAACATTGTATACTAACACAATTCAGATTTCTTAGTAAAGAAAGGGGTGCGTATTATACGGCGAATATATCTTAAAATAAAAAATTGCAGCTTGAAAGTATAGGTGCGCCGGATTTTACGGTATATCCATTTCAGAAAGTGAAAATATAAAACGACTTTGTTCCGCTTCTCAATCCGTTATTATGCTACATTATACTTGCAGGTTTTACGGTTCTGAGCCAACTCATTAAATCCATCATCGAATCCTTTCATTGCGTTATACACCAAATAAAAAACTACTAATCTGAACTTAAAAATGTTGATATAAATTATTTATCTGACAAATAGAACTAAATACACTACTCCCAACGAAGTTATCATTAAAAGAGCAATAACGTACCTAAGCTCACATCTGCCTTCCTTCATCCATCAACGCCTGTTACAGCAACATCTTACAGAATTGGTATTCAACAACATTTTATTCTTAAAATTGGTATTCAACAACATTTTATTCTTAAAATTGGTATTCAACAACATTTTATCCTTAAAATTGGTATTCAACAACATTTTATTCTTAAAATTGGTATTCAACAACATTTTATCCTTAAAATTGGTATTCAACAACATTTTATTCTTAAAATTGGTATTCAACAACATTTTATTCTTAAAATATGTATCTGCTGTAAAATTTAAAGCTCAATCTGCTCAGGGTATTTAAAAATATTTCTTTATACCGCAAAATCCGGCCTATAACACGCGCCACCGTATGACGCATACCTATACTTTAAAGATGCGTTTTTAATTTTAAGGTATATTCGCCATATAGTGCGCCCCGTCTTTTTTATGAAGAAGCCTGAAATATATGTATGCAATGCTCTTATGTTTTGAGGTATTTGTTCGAAATATTATCTCAAGCTTTTGTGAAAAAAATAGTATAAATCTAGAATTACAACTCTTTTTAAGTTCATAAGGCGTTTCATTTCTTTTAAATAGGCAGTATTTCTGTATATGTAGAAGTCTAACTTTTTTTATTGCTCTCGTCTCTTTTTATTTTTAAAGCTATCATTTTTATACCCGGCGTATAACGCGCACCCTTAAATTTCGATCTTATTTTTTGTGCTAAAAATGCTCGTTGTACGCCGAATTTTATGGAAACTAATTTAATTGTCAAAAAAACTTATTTTTACAGTAACACGAGCTAACTATCAAAACTTTTTTGGAGATATTATGATGGATATTTCGTTTCTGGATTCAAAAATATATTAGACTTTAAGAAATATGGCGCCCCCCCCCACACACACATCTCTTAATTATTCACAAACAGAATATCGGTCTTTTCCTCTTTTGTAAGCAAGCATGAACATTTTCCCATCATTTTGTATCAATAAATTTGTGAGTGAAATGAACTTCTAGAAAATCATTCAAAAATCGAAATACCTAATATTATTATAAAGATGTAAATCTCAAAAGGAGTTAATGATAAAATTTCATACTTAATGTATTCCAGCAATGGAAAATGGATATGAAAGGGAAACTAGATGAAAAATAAAAAGGAGAAAAGAAAATCATGTAAAATTAACAAATCGTAAATTGCACAAAATAATTAAAATATGAACAAAAAAGAACCTCTTTTTAGAACTAGAATGCGAAAATGAATAAAATATGAACTCTAGTAATTTTTCCAAATACGTTAAAAACCAATATTGACAAAATTTTTTATGATGTATTGTCTAGTTTACAAATATTTGGTTCTCAGAAGAACGGAAGTATCGTATATATGGAATATTGAGTGTAAAAAAACATTTCACGGCCTTAGGAAAAAATTCCGTATCCTCACTGCTACTTTTTATCGAAAAAATATAATGCGGCGTGCGTAGTTTGACATTTTCACCGAAAAAACCCCATTTTTTTCTCGTTTAAATAATAATTAATTTCAAAACTCGGATCGAAGTAGCTTTTTTTTATGTTTATTCAAAATTTTACAGTAAATATTTAAGTAGAAAGGAAAAACAACCAATTCAAATTAATCTCTCCTTTGTAATTTAAATTTTATTAAAACTACATTTCTTTCTATTTTTAAATTAAATTAATTTTATGAAACAGGTATTTATGTAACAAAATATTATAAACACAAATATTAAATAAGTTAATAATACTCTTATAAGTTATTAATACTTTTAGAATTAAATAAGTTAGTTTTAATTACGCGTATGTTTTATTTCTCGAAGTGTTCCAAAAGATTTTTGCAATAATAGAAATTTTTCAGAACTAAGATATTGTAATTTCTTTATAAAGTTAAAAAAAGGTTTTAGACAAAATTTATTAAATGCATAACTAATGAAATATCTCTTTCTCTTTCCTGAAGATGAAAATGATGACATCGTTTTCTCTAAGTTTCTTAAAAATGGTAAATGTTAGAAAAACAGATATTTTAGCTTTTTGCGAAGGAATACTTAGGGTTAAAACCTTTACTTAAACCTAACATCGTGAAAGAGACTTCGTTTCTTCTTTATATTGCATTTTTATAAAGTATTTTTAGTAAAAAAAATTGTTACACAAGAGAGGGTTTTTCTCTCTTTAAATTACTCCGAAAATTCCTATTTAAGTAGCTACTTATATCCAGGCTCATAAGTCAGGATATTTTCTAAGTCTTACCAAATTGACTTGAATGGATTCAAATTTCAGATACTTCAGACTTTAATAAGTTAAAAAAAATGTTCATCTTGTTGAATGACAAAAAGAAAATGATCAAAACAAATACAAAGCATAATAAACTGAGTTCGTTTGAAAAACAACAAGCATTTTATATTGGAAAGGTAAAGAAACCGAAATTCAATAACTAAAAACAGTATCCAAGCAAAAAAAATTTAATTGACAATAAAAACTTGCTTTTTCACATTCTTCGCTTACTATTGAAAATTTCTTATAAAATGAAAGTATTTCTACTTGATTCAACCAAAGTTACAATATTATGTCATTATACAAGTAACAAGAATTCTACATCTGCTAATAAGGGAAATTTTTCAAAATTTTTTTTCTTACGTCTACATTTTAATGTTTAAAGGTATCATTTGAAACATTTTTTTATTCTCACTTATTAAAAATTTTAGTAAATTCATTAATCCGCAGTGCTAAATTTGAGTGTGAATGTAAGCGTATAATATGTATGTACATACACACACACACACACACACACACACATATATATATATATATATATATATACACACATATATATATATATATATATATATATATATATATATATATATGAAATAATTTATTAAAAGCTAATTGTATTGCTGATCGATAGTATAAAGTTTTATTGAAATGCTTTTTTGGTGAAAAGAAAAAGGTAATCTCAATTCCTTTAATAAATGTAACTATTTTTAAAGGCGTTTTTTTCCACGATATATTTTTGCATTTAACTTTCAACAGTTAAATTTTTTGAAAACATCTTATGTGTTATTCTGATACAATTTTAAGTATAATTTCTATTTTTAAAATATCTTATTGTGGGGGTGATGCTTGATGTTAATACAGATTTTCAAATATTAATTCATTAATTTAATTAAAAAACGAATAAATAGTAGCAAACCAAAATATTAGTCCACCATCATATATAGAAAGGAAAATATTTTGTTGTCTCCGTGTAGCGCAATGGACAGCGCGCGTTGGACTTCTAATCCAAAGGTCGGGGGTTTATCCCACCCGGAATGGCCTAATTTCTAAGAATGTGTGAATTTTTTACTGTACTATTTTATTAGAATAATTAAATTTAATTAATGAACAAATAGTAACAAACAAGCAAAAATAGTCCATTACCATATATGGAAAGGAAAATTGAAGGAGAATCGCTTTCTATTTTGTCACTTAATATTGCGATTATGTCATAAATATACATATTTATATTAATTGTAACTATTCGATAAAAAGTAACTAAAATGAAATTTTTCTTTGTTGAGACCTAAGTAGGAAATGACTTTAAAAAAACCTATATTACTTGTTTTGTGTGTTTAGTATAATTTCGGTTGATTATTATCTCTCCCCTCACTATAATTATAAACTATAATAAAATGACAAATAATGTTAGTGAACTGATATTAAGATTATTTTCAATCTCGTGTTATTTTATTACTTTTTACTTACTGTCACTAAAATTTAAACTGTATCTTTATATAAAAGAATTTCCATAATTAAAATGTGTCATAATATACTATAATAGCGACTTTCATGAAAGCAATTATAGGTTTTTTAGCAGTCAGCAGAATTATTTTTAAATTATAACTATAATATAAGCGCCACGTTTTACTAACTACCTACATATTTATCCGCGAAAACTAGCTTTAAAAAAGGATTATATTTATGTATAGAATTTTATTAAATTTATTTTCATTTTGTTGTTCTTTCTTCGTGAACTTTAACTTAACGACAATTATGGAAATGAATTGCAATGCAAAAATTCAAAACTCTCCGCATTCTCATGCTTAAAATCGCTCTACAAATATATGATTTAGTCGTAGATTAAACCAAGGACAGTTAGAATGAAGTCCCATAAATCAGAACCAATTCTCTAGGAGAATAAATTTCCGATTTTGAATATTCAAGAGATTTTTAAGACGGTTATTCGGTTCTTATCGTTCGAATTAGAACAGGGTGCATTGTTAGCTTTTCATTTTTCATAAGAATATTTGAGTATTTTCTCTATTATTTATTTCCAGTTCAAATACAAATAAAATACATTTGAAAAATGTGCCCTATTTATTTTAAAAGTTTTTACTTTAAGATTTAAATGAAATGTATCATCCACATCAGCGAAGTAGTCTTAAAGTATTTTTTTATCAAAAAATATGTCCTGGAGAAATTTTATTGAATTACAAAATGAATCTAAATTTTACGTATAGACATTTCTGGATATAATAAAATATATATGTAGGTGAGTTATAATGATTATAAGATAAAACAAATGCTTCTATGTTATGGATTTTTATGTAATTTAAAAGGTGTGCTTATGAAACTGTTGTCTCAAATATGTAACAACTTATAAAGTTTAACAAGATAAAACCGCGTCATACATGTATTAAATTTTAAGTAATACAAACCATTTAATATTTTTCTAAACTCCTTACTTAAATCAATAAATATTATTTTCATTTATTTATTTATTTTGAAATTCTGCTAGCTTTTGTTTTTATTTATAAAAGCTTTTTTTTAAACTTAATATTTTAAGTTTGTATTTATTTAGAACTTCTTTTCCAGTTTTAATTTAATTTTCAGATCTGGATGTGAATTCATTTTCGCTAAACTTTTGTGTTTATTTAAGACTTTTAAAATGGCTTATGAAGCAGAAAGTTAGCTGAAAAGTAAATTTTTGCACTTATTTGAGCAGTTCGAAAGCTTTTAAAATTGGGGGAGGGGGTAGCATTTAAACTAATGTAAAAAAAAACAGCATTTCTATCATTTTTGATACATGAAATATTTACTTACGCTTAATTAAAAACAAGTCCCTTTTACAGCTCATTCCAGTTTCAATGTAAGCAAATCACCGAAATGTGCAACCGCAGAAAGAGTTGATGTTTTGAATTAAATTACATCTTATTTGCGTGAATGGAGACGGTAGAGAGCTGAACAGCAGATTCTGAAGGAAAGTGTTAAAATGGCTTATTAGTTGGGGGGAGGATATTTTCCTTGTGTTGTAACTCCACCAACTGGGGCAGATACGGGCAACTGAGACTCCAAATGCAAATTCCAAATCACCTATGGGCCAACACAGCACTGGCTTCAGATTGTATCCTTAGAGAAAAGGGAACAGAAAGTCCTGACATGTGTGTGTTGCACAATCCAGTCAATTCTCAAAACTTAACTGCTTTGCCCTCTTTTTTCTGTTCAAATGAAATTGTGTTCTTTTTTTCTACTTGATACGGTGACTTTAAAAAGATAGGCTTAAATTTTGCACCATGATTTTGTTGAAATTGAAAATGTTTCGGTCGAATCATTCGTGATCTACAAGTTTTTTCAAAAAGATGCTAAACCTCGTCGGTCTGAAGACGTTATCAGTTTCTTAGATGAATCTTTTGATAACTCTCCAACTGCTTTATATATATATACATAAATGATACATACACATATATATATATATATATATAAAATTTTTTACTTAATTCTTTTTTGTACGAATATAACAAAGTAATTACAATGAAAGAAACGGCTCTTGTTCATTTAAACAAAATAAAAATAGAATTAAATAAGATATCTCATAGGAAGCTAAAACAGAATTTACACTTGTCATCACTAGGTTGTTTCTTAGTAATAAACGATGTTTTTTTTGTTTTTTGGGACAAACTATAAATCTAAATAAAGGTTATTGTCATATTCGAGAACTTAAAACGATAAAATAAGAATAATTAACTTTGATCTGAATGAACAGTACCTATGTTTAAAAGAATTAAAATGGTAAAACCATAAAATTTTAGTTTTGGTCGATATATCTTAATGATAATCTTTAGTGGTAAATTCAGTTGTTTGAATCTTAAATTATAGTAATCAACATTATTTGAAAAACATATTTTTCAGATTTTAAAATAGCAACATGGAATATTTTTTTTAAAAAAATTATTTTACTTGCTTGATTTTTTGAGATGATAATGTAATTTAATTCTTCAAAAAATCACAGTTTCTGTAATTAAATAATTTACTGGTTTTTTTTTACATATTTTTACTTCAATTTTCTATAAGAACTTCCTTTTTAAGCAACAAATGAAAAATGATTAACGTCTTGACGAAATTATACAAAACATTTTTTTAAATTCTTTGAAAATGTGTTTTTATTAATTTTTATGGAGCTAATTTATTTACATCTAAAAAAAGAAAAATGATAATTCTTCATTCATTTTAAAAATACATTATCTTTAGATTTTTTTAACCTACTCGACTGAAACAAAAAAATGCATTTTCTATTAAAAACAGCTCTAATCAAGATTTTAGAGCTAACAGAGATTTTAGGTTTGAACGTGACTCTCAATAACATGTTTTTAAATTTCACTAAGAAAAAAATAATTAATGATTGAAAACTTTCCAATCAGAAATAAATAGAAGCAAAGAAAATACTCTCATTTATAGAGAAACTGCCTAGTGTGTGCAATGTAAGAAAATTTCATTATAAATGAATATATTTATTATTCGATGAAAATGATTACTTTCAGTCTTACATTAAAATCAATTGATTTCTTTTTTTTAAAAAAAACTTTGGTTTAAATAAAAAGGAAAAAGTGGAATTATGGTGTAGAAATTGGAAAGGTTTTATGTTACTTGGCAGAATTTTTTATCGCTTTGAATCGTAGAATTCTTCTTTTAAAAAAATTCCTTGTTGAAGAAAATATTATACTAATTAAGAGTACGGAAATTCAAATTTTCTATGATAATTTTTGTTAAGCATTGATTTTACTATTTCTCAAGTGTTGTTCTCTTAATCCTTGTCATTACAGTTTAAAATATTTAATAATAATAAAAATAATGATTTTTGTATTTGGACTGTCATGTACTCGTTTTCTTAATATTTAAGGTGACTGACTAAGATCGAAACCGTGATTTTGAAAAAAGCATGTAAATGGATAGTTTTCTTGATATTTAGTGTCAGTGGAATTAGAATACATATGGTTAGAAATGGTTTTACGAATATTACGATAAATAAAAATTATTTAAATGCTTTTGTCATAAATTGAAGAAAGAATGGCAAATTTTCGAAACCTTTACGAAAAAGGTTTTTTAAATAATAATATTTTGACTATTTGTACTCTATCTACCCATAAGTAATTGGACACCTATGATAAAAGAAATATAAGCAAATTTTTTTTTCATATTTAATAGTTGGTAGAACCTTCACCTCAAGAAACACAGTCTTAACCCTCCAGCGGATGCTTTTCACAAGTTTTTGGGATGATGTACAGTGGTATTTTCTTCCACTCGGCTTGAAGAAGACATGCAAGTTCTTTCCACTGATTTTCTAAGTTTGCTGCTTTAATTCAGCGATACAATTCATCTCAGAGGTTTCCTTCAATATTCAAGTCTGGACTCTGAGCAGGCCAGTCCAGTCAGCTCACATCATTGTCATCGTACCAATCTGGGGAGGACCTCACAACATGATAAGTGGTGTAATCATTCTGAAGTAACAATGATCCAACCTGTAAAATTGCCACAGAGTCGGAAGCACATTGTTGTCTAGAATAGTGGAAGAGGAGTCGGTGGTAAGCTTATCATGAATTGGGATCCAAGGTCTCAGTTCATATCACAACAAACATCCCCATACCATAATTCCACCTCCGCCGAAGTTTACTGTAGGCACAATGCATTCTGGCAAAAGGCGTTCTGCAGACATACGCCAAACCCAAGACTGCCATCCGACTCGTTGAGATTGAACCTTGTTTCATCACTCCAGAGAACCTCTTTCTACACATCTACGTTCATATTTCAAAGTGCCGTGCACCTTGAACCTTGAGAAGCTTGGTTGGATTTTGTAACCAAAAGTTTATGGGCGGCAGCTTGGCCATAGAAACCAAGCAAATGTGTTTCCTTGCGGGTGGTATTCGTCGAAACAATTATCCCGGATGCTTGTTGAAGCTTCTGAAGAATGTAGCTATCGGTTTGGGGAGACTTTTCCGAATTTGGTCTCACTCATTGGTCTTTATCTTTTAATTTCGGGGGTCTACCGAGTCAAAGCAAGT